AAAAAAAAAAAATTTTTTTGAAAAAAATGGGTCGGCGGGTTATGCAAAACGAAAAATTAACTTTGCATGGCCTTATTGATAACACGCAATTTTTATTGCATAATGGAAATTTATCTAATTTATCAAACAGTCAATTTTCATCCGAACCACCTAATTCAGACGATTCTTATGTTCATGATCAATACAACAGAATGCAACTTTTCTATATAGACTCTATGAAATATAAATCTCCTACGCAAGATATTAACATAATGTCATCTGAATATTTTAATAATTTTAAATTTAGAACACGACCTGATATTTTAGCGCTATTATCTAAGAAACAACTTTTTTCGAGCTTTAATGCTAAATTTAGATTTATTAATGACATACAACTTTTATTGTATAAATATTTATTATCTGAAGATAGTACGTATTATTAACTAATCAGATTTATACGGTATTCCTTTCTACTTAGACGATTGTTGCGTTAATATTAACATCTCAATATTTAACAATTTAAGTAAAATATTATTTATTATATTGTATCTCTTTTTCAATTTTAATGTTTATTTTAAAATACTTAAGTTTGCTTTACTTTCTCACGTGATAATTCAAATACGAAATTAATCACATAAAAATCATATACAAAAGGGAAGCTTTTTAATTTCTTTATAAATAAACTAAAAGGTGGAATTTTTAATTCAAATTTGCATTTAACAGACAGTGTGAGTGACAGAATATTTTACTGTAATTGAATATAACGATAAGAAAATAGATGAAATACATGGTAGAAATCATGTATAGTATTGCTAAATTTTTTCCCGCATATAAACTTAAAAAAAGTATTTCTGTACCCTATCCGCTATATATGTTTGCGTAGTGATGCAGAAGAATCGTCCCAATGATGTCCAATGATAGTTGTCACATTGGGGTAGCCGATCATCCAATAGAATAGAATCAAGCATATGTCTAGTCTCATTGATTTTTGTATACTGATAGATTTTTTGATCAAAAAAATATGGCGCAATTTTATATTAAAAGATTAATAAAATTCATTTGGATATTTAATGCTTAATAATAATACTTTTGTTTTGATTTTAACAT